AGAGGCTACATAATTTTCCCAAGAAGATCAGCTTCAACCCCTAACAGTGTGTGTCAAGGCCCTCTGTTTAACTCTTATGATAAGCAAGATAATTTTTTGTAGATTATGGTTATAAACAGATGAGGTATCAAAATACATACTAGGACACACATCAACTCTAAGATGTTCATTAACTCCACTATTTTGTTTCTATTTATTTCTATTAAGAAAAAATTAAGAACCTCTGCAGTCAGTATAGCAAAATATTACTGGGCTTTAAATCCAGAATATAGAGGTGTTAAGTGTGTCATTACTCATAGTTATTTGTATGTTCACTAGACAAAATGATTTGAAAATCCCTCTCCCCTCCTCCTACTCACTAATGGCTTTCACCTGAGCTCCCAGACCACACATCTAACAGCCTTTCACTTTACCCACAGCTGAACTCATCAGTTTTTCCCCAGAACTCCCTCTGCAGGTTTCCCGCCTCAGAACACAGCAGGACCATCATTTACCTCATTAATCCACACAGAAACCTGGGCCTTTCTCCATCCTAATTTCACAGACAGCATTCATCCTTTCCTTTTTACCATCTAAACATGCCTTCAATCTGTTTGCTTTTACCCACTGACCGTCCCACCGCTCAAGAAGAAGCCACTAACACTGCCCACCTGGACACACAAGTCTCCCAAGTGGCCCCACAGCTGCTCTCCCCTACTTGAAACAAATGGGATTGTGACACTCCAGCGCTTTTTGGACTCTTTTCAAACCCACAATTCTTAGAAGAAACTCCAGGTTCTTCACCTGGTGAAAGTCTTTGCCATCAAACTGTCAGCACAGGGAGGGCAGGACACGCCCTCTCCCTCGACCTCGCCCTCTGGTAGAGCTTCAGCTTGGAAGGACCTGCTGAGCTACACCAGCCTGTATTATAAACCTGTTCTTGAGTTGTTAGCAAACTGCTTCACTTATCCATAAAAATCCAAGTTAGAGTAGAAAGATGTTAGATGTTGAGCTAGACTTGATTTCGGGATTTTGCACTAGCAACCTGCAAGGACATGTTCTAATGATTTTGTCTTCTTAAAACCACACCTAGATTTAAGGAGTATTTGTAGAATGTCTTTGGAGTAAAAGGGAATGTACTTTTACAGACTGTATGTTTTATATCATGAACAACCCGGACAGGGTCACAAAAGGAACCGCCTCACAAGTGACAGAAGACAGGTGAGAGGCATATAGCAACTGTTCACAAAGATGGTAAGCGCAAAGTTGTTTATCCAACACTCGAAAAAATTTCTTCAAGAACTGAAAACTCTGAATTTTGAAAGTAAAATACTATCATATAAAGAAACAAAATACATAATCCTCTTCATCAGGGTTTCAAGATCTGACTCCAGAATTTTTAGCATGCCATACTGAATCCTAGCACAGAAAAGTCAGATGGACTCGTGGTGAATAATTTCCAGGAAAACTGCAGTAATTCCTCCACTTGTGTAAGGACATACAGTCACCTGCGAAAGGTGAATGAAATCTGCATTCTGGAGAAATTCGGAAGTTTCCAGGCTCCGCTTCTGGATGGCAAGTACATGGACACCTTCGAAGCATGCTTCTAACTGAGTCACCGGCATTCTTACACTGCAGGGGTAAAAGGAGGCCCTCAGTCAAGAGCAGAGATGTTCCTGTAATGTCTCACATGCCGTGCCTCGGGGACACATTGACCTGCAGCAGCCCGGCTTCAGGTGAGGACCCGTAGCATGGCCCACCCAAGCAGGAGGGGCATTGTGCTTGAGAAAGCCCATCCCCGATGGGGGCAAGAGGAGCTGGTGGGGTTGAGTAAACCTATAAATGCTCACAGAATTACACCTACATACAAT